TCCTGTCTCTATCTGCTCTTGCTCCTCTCTTTCTGCTCCTCTCTGTGCAGTGCATGACAGATGCACGTGATGATGAGGATGATGAAGGTGCTGTGTACTGTGTTCCAGGCCTACATCAAGATCTACCAGGGTGAGGACCTGCCACACCCTAAATCCATGCTCCAGGTAAGCCCGCAGATCCCAGCGTCTGTGTCTGGCCCTGTAGTGGACCCCGGCCTGTCCCATGGTGCCATTCCTGGGTCTTCCCTAGCGTCTGCGTCAGGCCCCACTGTCACCCTCCGCCTGGCCCGTGTCAGAGACCCGCACTGCTGCCACAGACGAACACTCAGCAGGCCAGCCCTGTGCCAGTGTGCGCTGCGCCAGTGCTCTGTGCCAGTGTACTCTTCTGCACCAGTGTGCCCTGTGCCAGTGCTCTGTGCTAGTTTGAGCCAGTCTGCTCTGTGCCAGTCTGTACCAGTGCCCTGTGCCACTGTGCTCTGTACTAGTGCCCTGTGCCAGTCTGTACCAGTCTGCCCTGTGCCAGTCTGTACCAGTGCCCTGTGCCAGTGCTCTGTACCAGTGCCCTGTGCCAGTCTGTATCAGTGCCCTGTGCCACTGTGCTCTGTACTAGTGCCCTGTGCCAGTGCTCTGTGCTAGTCTGAGCCAGTCTGCTCTGTGCCAGTCTGTACCAGTGCCCTGTGCCAGTCTGTACCAGTCTGCCCTGTGCCAGTCTGTACCAGTGCCCTGTGCCAGTGCTCTGTACTAGTGCTCTGTGCCAGTCTGTACCAGTATGCCTTGTGCCAGTCTGTGCCAGTCTGCCCTGTGCCAGTCTGTACCAGTCTGCCTTGTGCCGGTCTGTGCCAGTCTGTACCAGTGCCCTGTGCCAGTCTGTACCAGTCTGCCCTGTGCCAGTCTGTGCCAGTCTGTACCAGTCTGCCCTGTGCCAGTCTGTACCAGTCTGCCCTGTGCCAGTCTGTGCCAGTCTGTACCAGTCTGCCCTGTGCCAGTCTGTGCCAGTCTGTACCAGTGCCCTGTTCTCCGACCTGCTTGAGCAGCTGATCCTGGTCTCTGCCTCTTCCAGGCCACCGCAGAGGCCAACAACCTGGCCGCCGTGGCAGCAGCCAAGGACCTGTACTACAAGCAGATGGAGAAGGTGAGTCAGTCCTCCGGGCAGCAGGGGGCGCTGTGGGCTCCGCCCTCGGGCTATCGCCGGATCGGGGTCAGGGTGGCCAGAGCAGCAGAGTCCTGATTGGCTGAGGAGCCGGGGGTGGGTGGTGTGCATTTTAATTGGTCAGAGACGGGCGGAGACGGGACCTGCCGTGCGAGGGCCCCGTGGAGCTGTCCGGCACGCTGCCTGTCTGAACTGCGCTGCCCCCCCTCCCCCCGCAGGTGTGCGGAGGGGACCTGCCCTACGTGGCGCCCGAGTCGCTGGAGGAGAAACACGCCTTCCACTGCGCCGAGGCCCTGGAGCTCTTCGGCCGCACCAAGAAGATGGGCGGCGCGACGTTCTCCGAGCGCTACCGGCAGCAGCTGGCCGGCGACCTGGAGCAGCTGTGGGCCGACTTCCAGAAGCACAACCAGAGCAAGAACGTGTTCAGCGCCTTCCGCACGCCCGCCGTGCTCTTCGTGCTGCTCGCCGGCCTCTACCTGCTGTCGGGCCTGGCCGGCTTCGTGGGGCTCGCCCTGGTGGCCGGCCTGTGCAACTGCGGCATCGGCCTGGCGCTGGCGGCCATGCTGGCCTGGGCGCTGATCCGCTACTCCGGCCAGTACCGCGAGGTGGGCCAGGCCATCGACTCCAGCGCCGGCTTCATGCTGGAGAAGGTGGGTGGCGCCGGCGGGGGGCGGGGGGCTGGGGCTCGGGGGGCGCCCTCGTGCGCCGGGGCCTCACGGCGTCTTGCCTTCTCTCTCCTAGGCCACCGTGGTCATCAACAGCACCCGAGGGGCGGCTGTGCAGCAGGGGAAGAAGTCCAGCTAGCCAGGGGGACGTCCAGCTGGCCCAGCAGCGCCCCCTGCTGTTACTGCACCGTGCCTTAACACCCCTCCCGCCGACACACAGAACTGCCCCCACGTTGCCCCCTCTGTGTGTCTCCTGCCTGTCTGTTTCTTAGTCCAGCCTGTCTCTCTGTGCTGCCTCTCTCACTGCCTGTCTGTCTCTCTCTCTGTCTCTTTGTCTCAGTGCTGCCTGTCTGTCTCTCTGTGTCTCAGTCCTGCCTGTCTGTCTCTCTCTGTGTCTCTTTGTCTCAGTCCTGCCTGTCTGTCTCCCTCTGTCTCTCTGTCTCAGTCCTGCCTGTCTGTCTCTCTGTGTCTCCGTGTCTGTCTGCAGGTCTCACACTGACCAGTTGCTCACTGTCCAGGCAGGAGCCTTTGTTTGTGTGATGTTTTTTTAAAATATAGCATTTCCTCTTATTTCTATATATATTTTTTGTAAAGGATGTTACACGAAAGAACAAAGCTCTTAAACCAAATAAAAGGCGTGTGAAGAAGCGAGCTGTCCGTCTCTCTGTGTCTCAGTCCTGCCTGTCTGTCTCTCTCTGTCTC